CAAGGGCTGTCCACAGAAAAGACTTCTTTGAAGTGATCCACACATCTGATTTCCCTTCCGTATTAGCTATGAATAATTTTTCCTCTTTTCTCTTTGTTTGGCACATTTCCCCCATTTACTCTCCTGCTGAAATGCTTCGCCTTTTCCCATTATAGCAGTAGCACCTCCTCTTTATCTATTATATTTTTCATCTTTTTCTGTGTTTCCCTACAAAGCTTTTCACTAGTGGTTTAGCTTCTGCTACTCCTTCTGTGCCTTCTTCCAGATTTTTTTTTGTTCTTATCATTTTGGAATTCTTCCTTCTCCTGGCAATGGGCCACCTTTTCTGCCTGTGACTTTCTCCAGTTATGACTCCTGCAGTTAAATAACATTACTGCTGAGCTGATCTCAGGGCTGCTGAGTCACTTTCACCTGTGTTTGACAAATCCTCCAATGAATTCCACAGCATTGATCAGAGCTTTGTCACAGGATCTTTTTGTCATTCCATTCTGCTCTTTTGGCCAATTTCAACAACTCCTTGAAGTCGCCGCTGTGCACTTACATTTACTGGTTGGCAATGGTCAGATTGGTCAGTGGTAGCAGTAGTTTGGATCAACTCTATTTCGGGTGAACAAGCTGAATTTTGTTCTGTCACCTATCAAATGTGGAAGTCTACATGAGTAACTATAAGGTTTTCAAGAAGAGGCATGAAATCTAACTTAATGATGCTTTGCCAAGAGAACAAAAGATATTCTGGTTTAGACTCTAGTGTCCTATCTCACTTCACAGCCTGTGCTGCATTATTAAAGAAGTAGACAGTGATCCTTCCTGAATTATCCTCCAGGTTTCCAGCAATAAAATTATGGCCTTGAAGCACCAGATATTTCACCAAAACCACTGTGTTTAAACACCCCAGAAATATAGAAACATAAATAGAAATATATAGAGAGAAATATCCTCCATGATTCCTTCCTATCTGAATTGCTTTATACTTTGGGATCTGTGATATTCTTTGCCAGTGAGTGACATAAAGCAACTAGAAGTTTTGTAATGCAACTACTTCATTTTTTAAAAACATTTGAGAGATCCCTTGATCCTTAATCCCTGTAGTGATACCCTAAGAGGAACCATGAATATATATCTATGTTTGCACATCAACATCTCACAATTGTACACAATTTTATACCATATTTCCTGCCCTGTCTTTTCCTTTGCCACCCCTCGGTTACCTGCAAATAGTGCAGCTCACCTAGTCCCTTGAGACCAAAATTTTAAGAGCTTTTGGTGGCAGACCTTGGAAGAAGCACTCTCATATCCACATGCTCATAATCCCTCTACACAGAGCTACAAATACATTTGTAGGGCACCACATTCTCACAAAAGCCCACTTCCCACATTTGCCCGTGGACCCAGGAGTTTTGTTATTTATTACCATAACTCTGAATTTCCAACTGTGAAAGTTGGACCTACTGATCTTTAGTTGTTGTCACTATTATAAGGAGTCTTTATAAATACAGATGTCACATTTCCTATCTTCCATTGCTCCTCTACTGCTATTAATGTAAACTTAATGCACAATAAATAGTTTGGCAGTTTTCTAGATAGAAGTCTGAAGAGGATTCTTCAGAGGAACCTTAAGAAGTTCTAGAAGATGAGACTTAAAACTTCAGAGACTTGTAGAAGTCCCTCCAAAGAGAAGCCTGGCTTTTAAAAGCCAGTCTTCTGGCTTGCTATAGGCTATGCCTATTTATTACCATTCATTTTGTCAAGATCTGAGTGGGAACTCATGAGCTGGTATTTACCAGTTTCTCTGTACAGTATTATTATTACGGCCTAGGTGAGTAACAATGATCATGTCAAAATGAAAGTTGTACCATCACATTTTGTCAGCAACACTTTGGCAATAATCGTCAAAAAGGTCTCTGTTCTCATGGCCATGCTCTGTGGCAGTTCAGGGCTCCATCTTTCATCACCTGCCTTGGATCACACATATATTCCACACTGTTGACAAAACTAGGCCAATGGCAATTCTCCACTGTAAGTACTGCTTGGTCATGAAAAGTTCAACCAGTGTCATCTGAATAGCTGAAGTACTTCACTTCCCTAAAATACTTATGATCTCTATCTGCTCTTACTGGTACATTGATCTTTTTTAAGACAAAAATATGTCTTGTCACTTCCATCATAAGCTGAAGGATGCTTAGGAACCTTTATCATTCTTTTTGTGAATTATTATATATCACTGCCAAGGTGCCTGGGGTGTTTCTTCCTAAGTGTTTTCTGTTGGCAGACCTTTGACTTTTCAGGACTTTAGTTTTTTGAAGGTAGTAATTACCAGGAGCCCCCATGAAGTAGAAGCATTGAGAAGCTTTCTGCAGTCACTTTTACTAAAGAGGTAACCTGATCCCATTTACCTTTTGATTTTACTGCTCAACAGACAGATCAAAATGTCATATATCTACTCTTCATTCCTTTCAGCACTGAAAAGGCCTTCATTTAACATCTTTTATTTTCAATTCCCATCTTTTGCTCCCTTAAACACTTTGAAGTTTGCTTCTTGATATAGTAGCAGTATGCTGTTCTTTCTGTTTAAACATTGCATTAAAAACTATTTTTTGCAATCATTTGAATATTGTAGTGCTACAAGTGGGAGGGAATTGAAAGAAATGCTCTTCTCTGACTCCCACACAGCACAATGGAAATGAGCAGTTTAACACAGCAACTCTAATCACAGACATATATACTAACCTAATTGTGGTTTGCTTCACTAACAGTTGGAAATTCTCAAAAGGGCAGATATTTTGAATATACTTCAATATGTGTTCTTTCATTTTCATGATTTTACCTCCTTGGCAGAGCGTACATAGTAAGCTACTAGTTTTCTTCCTTCACTCCAAATTTCTGTAATTTCCCAATGTAACCAGCAGTTTCCTTATGCAAATACTCATTGTTCTCAGTATGTTTGCCATTCATACAACTCCTCATTTTATGGTAAACACACAAGACCTTTTTCATGCTGTACCAACCAGATAAAAAACACTAAAGGAATATCCAAGAAAAACTCAACTGAATGACATGAAAAGCAATGAAAAATCTATCAGTTTCTATTCCTTGAAAACATCAATCATAATGGAAAGGTTTGTTAATCACCATATTATCTGTTTTGTCTCATGTTTCCTTCCCTTTTCTTGTGAGATACACATTTAGAGAAAAGTTAACTTTCCTGTAAGGTACCAAAACTGTAATTGAATCCATCTCTGGTCAACTGAATGAACAGTAATGTCTCCAAGGCATAAGATTCTTTCAGGGAAAAAGAATGCTTTTTTTCATTACTGATTCTCACTCATTTATATGTCATGATCATCAATGGTAAGAGGGAACCTGGAAAAAAATAAGCACAAACTTTTTCCTAATGACTGAAAAGCACTTCAGAGACAATGAAAGATGCATATATGCCACTTTAGTATTGCTTTAGTATTAAAGATTCAGATTCCATGTGTGTCTTTACTCATAGACTACTTTGGAGAATTGACTAATCATCACAAATGTAAAAATGTACTTTTCATCACTAGCAGGTTTTGTGAAACACAAGATTTCTGTGTTATGTCTAATAAAGATATATCTTTTTACTCTAGCAGATATCTATATCAAAACATATGTAAGTGTACAAGTGCAAGACTGAAAATTAATTTTTCAACCTATTTGTGCGTAAATATAAATATTTCCTATAAAATAATCAATATTGTGGTGTACAAAAAAGAAGTCAAGCCCAGCTTGCAATAGCTGCATATCACTTTCCAAGTCCAGAAATAGTTTTCACTTACAACAAATGCTTGTCATGATGTTGTTTATGACATTAAAACTGAGTAACATTACCAGATTAAAATCTCACAAAATTGGAATTAAGTTCTTCTGCTAAGTTAATGTCAAGCGACTAAACAGATGCCTACAACAAACTTTTCATAACAAAAAACTTTATGAATACAATTAAGTCTGTAATTTGAATCATTTAATATAATATCATTAAATACAAAGACACTGTCAGAAACAGAAGAGATAAAAAAAAGGAATGTTATTGCTCGTTCTGTGATTTCCTGGCAGGATATTAAAATCTTTCAAAATGAGCCACGCATTTGTAACACAGACACTGCAGGATCAGGAAGACTGTGGGATCAAGTGTTCCAAAAACCAAAATGGAAATACTTATCTAGTTATAGAAAGTGGATGAAGCTATTAATTTCAATAACGTAGCATACTGTGTGCACACCTACGTTTCCCAAATGTAGGTACCGAATATATGCCATCTTCAGTTAATTTCTTTTTAGTAAATTTGAAGTTTTAGAGAATATTCTGCATTTACTGAGGCAACAGTGAGATTCCAAGAGATGCTACCCAATTTTCAGTGAGGTAAAAGCAGAAGGTTCATTAGCCTAGTACATAAATGCTGCATCAGCAATTTACAGATACTCCTTAGTATACTTTTTCTTTAGTGAAAAAAATAATAATCTTTAACCATAGAATCACATTTAAACTCTCTAAGAACTAGAATTATTCAGAAAGATTTCTCTTTGTTGTAATTATTTTCCATCTAGTCTCTCAAGTCTCTCAAACATATTGAAACCAAACATCATTCCCAGTAGTGGTAATGCAGAGACTTTCAAGATCCCAAGTTTCTAAAATCCCCATGTCCCTTTAGATATGTGCATAATTAATTGGCCTGATTTTCCAAAATTACTTAACAGTTTTCTTGATTTTTGCTGAACATCTATAAATGCAAGCATATTTCACTGGAAGACACAAATTGCTCAGGGCCTTTTTGGGTTGTTGTTTTGGTTTTTTTTCCTTCACCAAAACCACATAAACAATTCAGGAAAACATTCCTGTTTGGAAATCCCATCCTCCCCCTGAGCTGCACTCCTTGCCTGAGAAACTGACCCTCCAAATGTGAAGCTGTAGAACTGAGATACACGAGCATTACCAGGCAGTGAGGAGGAACCCCCGAGTTAGAGACGCGGGTTTACCTTCGCCTTGCGGAAATGGTAGACCACCAGCATGCTGATGAAATCCAGCAGCATGCAGAGCGTCTGGAAGGAGATGATAGCCAGCCGTAAATACTTGTCCTCCTGTGCATAGCAGGGAGTATCATCTGTGCAGAAAGAACATCCTTCTCTGCAGGGCAGGCAGGTGTAGACTTCCTCTGACAATTCACCACCTGAAAAGCGATTTTCTGCATCCTTTCCTGAAAGTAAGAAGAGGGAGGGGCGACACCTTTAGTTGTAGGGGATGGGGAGTTCATCACCAGTCCTCTGCTGGGCTTCCTTTCCTTCCCATTCTTTCTCAATATGTGACAAAATAGCTTGCCCAGTGCTGCTTTTCCCACTGAACCATCCTTTGTAACATTCAGAAAATGCAGACCAATGAGGGAAAGTGAGCTTATTAAATATCAAATGCTTTCCTGTTATATTTAAAGTGGGATAAATCGACACAGGAAATTCTATGAAGATTTTTGAATGGGGAAAAAATTACATTAAATATTTGGGAATAAGGAATGGATTTTACACAGACAAATGAAGGGCAGACCCATTAACTACCTAATGCTCTTAGTACAAGCTCTGATCCCATTTCAGATTGTTCCTCAATTTTATAAAAATGCTATCTAATGAATTAATGAGCTTCAAATTAGATTAAAACCTTCTTAATTAACACTTGTTCAACAGGCTGTTGCATGATTGGACTACTCTGTCCCCAAAGCAAAACCAGTGCACTTGGACTAAGTATAGTATTCCCTCGTTCACACAAGCACACCAGGAAGTAGACACACCTATTTTGTCTAGGAAAATCAATGACTCTTGAACTGATCTCCTATCCATCAATGTGAACCCATCAAGAGCACACACAGAAGGATTCCTAATTTTTCTGATCTATGACACTTGCCATAAACCCTTGTAAGGCTGCTTACCCTACAGGCCATGAATAGAATTAAAAGGTGAAAGAGAAAGGGGTGAAAACTATTATTAAATAAAATGAAAAGAAGAATTTGTTGAAAATGTTTGTTATAGGCAAGACAGCCTTAGGAGCTCACAGAAACAACAAAATGTGGCTGAAGCCAAACCAATGGGTGTGTTATAATGTGTGACAACTCCTCTCACTTTTCACAATTCTAGAGAGCTGCTTCAATTTCTTTGATCAAAATTCTCCTTCTCTGTCAGGGAAAGTAGCAAATCATGCATTGCTGAGTCCTTCAAGAGACAACCTATTCCACCTATGCTGCACATACACATGGGTTTATGCAACTCTCTTCAGACTTTTAGCTTGAAGCAATTGAAGCAGAAAGTTTTCTACAAGGGTAATTACTTCTTGCTTTCTCAAATCCGTGTCCAAATGTGCATGAGCACACATCTGCTGCCAGGCAAAGCCTGAGAAAAGGACAGAGGCCACGCTCCTTGTCCTCAGTGTAGGATGCTTCACTCCCACATTCCAGGGTGAATAGAGAACAGGATGGTATTTCTCATGCAGTTCGTGAATTTCTCCTTAGAGCTCTATTCTGAACTAACATGTCAGAGACCTGAATATAGCAGAGTAGTGCTGACTCATGTTGTAAGTCAGATTTTTAGATACAAGGAGTCAGCAAGAAGAGATCTTGTGCTTTTTTGACCCAGACTGTGTGAGGTAGGAATGGAAATCTTGGAAAATAACCATGCTTGGGCATTCCAAGCAGATGGAGAATCTCTAAGGAAGACTAATGTTGAAGATATTCTACAACTGGAACTTCTCTTCAGAGCACACACCCATGGACCTCAGCCCATTATCATTCCAAGAGCTTTAGCAGAAACCACCTTCATCAAATCCAACAGCAGATCCCTGCTTTCTTAATTACAGCTAGAGCAACAGACCCACACTGTCCTCTGCCAGAGACAGAAGCCACAGTCTCCCTTCTCCCTATCCAGACCAAGAGGGCATTTCCTACTGTCCAAGTTTTCCACTTCATTTCCTCAACATTTAAGCTCATGTCACCCTTTCCACCACATATCTGTTCCTTTATAATTTCTATAGTTGCCCTTCAATTAGCCCATCTTTTTAAAACTTCACATTTCTGAGCCCTATAAGCCATTTGTTAATATATTTTTATTGTGTCAACTAAATAAATTATTTGCACTGTAAAAACTTACACAGAGAAAAAATATAGTTCAAGACCCACAGTTATGAGACTACTTGTCACAAATATTATATGAATATGGCTTGATAATTTTGCATTATTCTAAACTTGATGCACTTACTTTATTTCTGAATGTTGAACCTTGAAAGTCATTGCAAATACACTATATTCCATTTTATCAAGCAGTTTCTTAGCAGAATGATACGTGGGAGTGTCTTCATGTGGATGCTCATCACATACTCCAGGGATAACAGTGAAATAAACAGTTGCATGCTGAAGTGAATATCCCATGGATATGACTTCATAACACAACAGCAAGCTTTTGTTTAGCTGTGTCTGGTGTCATGTTTAGAGACTGGGATGGGCTGCACAGGGAGGTGGTGGAGTCACCATCCCTGGAGGAGTTTAAGGAAAGACTGGATGTGGCACTCAGTGCCAAGGTCTAGCCTAAGGCAGTGTTTGGTCTTCATGGACTCAATGATCTTAGAGGTCTTTTCCAATCTATTGCTTCTGTGGTATGGTGTGTTGCATACAAAGGGAGATCACTGACACACATCTTCTGCACTGGCTGCACTGCCAGCCAGGACTGATTTTTCTGTGAATATCTTTTGACTATCAGATGGAGGTGGAGGTGTCTGAGGAACAACTGGATGAGGCACTCAGTGCTCTGGTCTGGTTAACAAGGTGGGGATTGCTCACAGGTTGGACTAGGTGATCTTAGAGGTCTTTTCCAACATACTGGATTCCGTGATTCCATGTGATTTTTCCTTAAAGCTAATAAAAGAATGATCAAAAAAATTGGATCTACATGAAATTTTTCATAATGCAATGAGGAACAATTAACAATTCCGATGTGTTTGGGGGTTTTAATTTTTTTTTCTCCTTGACAAAAAGAAAGAACTTTTCTCAGCCCTTCTAAAATAAATTCTTGGGGAAGAACCGTTCATTATATTTACCACCGACAGGGATCTTTTCCACCCACACCCTTGCCATGACTATGTCTCAGGGCACAGCTGCCCAATGAATAGTTGAACATTTCTGCCCTTTTTGTCTGGTCCTGTCCCCTCACCAAAGTCAATGTAACATCAATTCAAGACACAGACAGCCCAAGTCAAGCCTGGAGTACCTCTAACAATACTGCTAGGCGTTTCATTGTGCCTTGTCTTAGCTCAGCAGTTCTTTAGGATTAGATGTGTCCTGCAGTGAATAAAAACAATTTTTCCTCCTCAAAAGATGACAAAAGATTCTAGACACAGTAAGGTAGATGGACAAGAAGTAATTTCTGCTTTGTGTAAGGCAGTAGCAGTTTCAGCACTGTCACAAACGAGATGGAAGCAAACACTGTGCTGCAGAAGTTAAAGCTGAAAATGAGGAAGGTGTAAAAAAGAAAAGAAGAACAGAAATAAAATGTAGTAACCAAAAAATAAAAAGGATGAAAATTAAGGTGAAAAGAATCAAGCAAAGTAGGTGGAAAATAGGAATAGGGACACAAACTAAAATGAAGTATAATAAAATAAAACAAAAAGCTTAAATGTTTCAGCTATTTCCATTCCACCATATTTTTTCCCTAGCTCTTCTCTCTTCTATCCCAGTCTTATTTTTCTGTGTGATTGGCCCATCTGTTTTTGAAATGTTCTCCTGAGGGTAACTCTTCGTCAGCTTCAGTTCTCCTAAGGACACTTTTCCACGCAAGGGATGCCTCAGCAGCTGTGACATAGCCAGCTGAGACCTTCCTGCAAAGTGAGAATGGCACCACAGACTGCTGAGAGCCAGGGCAGGGACTGCTTTGTCCCAAACCAAATCATCCTGCACTCCAGTCAGAACTCAGCACATGAATACAGAAAGCACAGTGCATGCTGAGCACTGAGCAGAACAAAAGACTGATTCTGCTCCTGTTCTATAATAGAAGAAATTAGGAACACTCCAGTCGCATCAGCGATGTTGCAGTAACTTGGTGAGAATGTAACTGGACCTCTTGGCACCAAAACCTGCTCACCAGCCATGGTCATAAGCCTCACTCCAGAAGGGGATCACTGAAGTCAGTGACAACCTTCACATGTGCAAATATCTGCATGTGCAGGCTCTGTTGAAGAAACAAAGCCAAAGGGCAGGTGCAAAAAATGAAAATTCCTGTTGAACTGAAACTCCTCTTGGAAATTTTTATGTGATCATGACAGTGTTAGAGACAGCAAAGTCCCATATTCAGACAAAAGAGACACTTCTGTTACAAGCAGGGCAGGTTCCACATCCAAACAGCAAGAGCTGGGAATTTCTGCAGTATATGGATGATGCATTGCTAAAGGGAAAACTTCAATGCTGAACAAAGCACCATTGCTCTGCTAAAGACTTTTCAATGCAAACCTGATTACCCCATAAGGCAGAGAACAGAAGTGCTTTAGAGAAGGGTGTTACAGGAATAAGTCATCATCAGTTAGTCTATTCTATCTATACTAATAGTGCTACCTAAAAACGAGCCATTAGGAGAAAGTGCATAACCATGTACTCAAATACTTACAGGTTAATACAACCTGTGTATATGAAATGTGGCTTTTTCTAAAATCAATTTCCAACCTCAAAAGACACCCTGGAAGTATGGTAATAATTTTGTTCCATTCTAGTATCCAAGGTCCTCATTAACACATGCAGAAAAATAGAAAGGTTTTACATATTTTGGCACCGTCAGTTCTGAAGAATGAACAGAGACTTGGGAGCGAAATGCCCTCCTACCTGGCTTCTTAGCCTGAATTCCAGCTGTGCCCCTGTTCCCCACTCTTTGGGAATCTGCAATATGTGCAGCCTTCCTGGGAGCAGCAAGACCATGGTGCTTTAAGACAAGAAAGCAACTGATTTGCAGAATCTTTCCTACACAGGACACTGTTTATGTCACTTTTCAGGTTCCCACAGAGCAAACCAGTAAACTGTGTGGAGTGTTCAACATCCCTGCAAAGCTGTATTAAACAGTTACCATTCAGACTCAAACTAAAACATTAATCTGGGCTGAATGCAGAGCCTTTCCCCCACTCAAAAGATGGAGACTTCAGACACAATGTGGAAGTGCAGTTATCGATATTTTGCTATGGTGCAAAATCCCAGCATCACTGAGAAATGCTCCCATTTCAAGACACAATACAATTCCATTTTGTACTTCAATTGAGTGAAGTACAAAGCTTGTATTTTTTTTCTGTCTATCTCCTTTCTGGTGTCCTGCAAATCTTTGCTGCCTCTTTATTTTCTTCCACTAGGAATACTTTCTAAATTATTAACATTTCTATTCAGTTTCATCTCTTTCATCATCAGATTTCACCAACCTAGCTCCACAAAGAGATCTCCAGGTCAGACAGTTTTTTGTCAAAATTGCTTGCAGAATTCGTATCTAGAATTCCTATGTTAACATCATTTTGAACAACCAAATACATACTACAGCCATTTTAGCCATGTTATTTTTTCCTTTTTTCTTTTTACAGAATGCGGCTGTGTGACAGGGCCAAGTTTCCTTTGAACCACAGGCTTTTCTTATTACTTTAGTCCTTTCCAGTCTCACTGTTCACTTTTTTAACTCATCTATACAACTTGGCGGATGGAGCTGCATCTGGATGAATTTAAGAAGTTCTTCACTACAGTTTTAAAACTCAAGTTACCTCAGAGCAACAAAGGCTTACATCAAACTGGCCCCCTACATCCTACAATATCAGCATTTACAAACTTCTTTTAGACAAATTTCACTTTATTAGGAGCTAAACAGCCATTTTAAGGGCCTTCATTCTATAGCAAATGCAGAAAAGATAGAAGTATTGCTTTTTCCATCTAAAGACAAATTACTCCCTGGGGAGCCATGCTCTTGATGCTGACAACAGTTGAAACCTAGATGACTAATACATACCAAGCATATATATTTTGCACAACTGACAGGAAATAAAGTTAATCTCATCCCTAATGATCAGTGTTGTTTCCATCTCTAGCCACATTTTTTTGTGTGTGTTCTATGGCATTTGTACAAAGTCATTTTTATATGCTCTCTCATGGAATTAAATCCTAACTCCACAAGAACTCATCTCACTTCAGGAAGAACCAAACATCCTAACATCCAAACATCCTTACTCTAGCAACAGATTCACACAGGCCAGAGAACCAGCACTATCACAAGGCTGCCTTCTGCAACACGTTACCATATGAAAAGAAAAGGGAAACACTCAGCAGATCAACTGCTGAACAAACTGTGCTATTTATTCTACAAATATGCACAGGAGACATTATATCCCAGATATATGTATATATGTATGTTAAGTGATGATTAGTACTAGAGGTATTTCTCTTGGGAAACAGAAACAGCAGTTTTCACACAAGGCAGAAGGTAATACACACAGTCCTGGACCAAGCTCGGTTAAAGTCAGGCACTGCCATTCCCTGGATATCTCACACAAACTGATCTCACAGTGAGAGCTGATGACATGAACCTCTGGCTAAAGGGTGGTGCAAAGAAGCTGGCATGAGATGAACCTGAAAGCAGGAGCCAGAGAAGGATGCCTGTTACTCCTCCAAGCAGCAGCTCTGCTGTGACTGCAGCCTGAGCTCTACCAGTACAAGTGCAACAATTTCAGCACAAAATCCATACACAGATTTGGTCACATGATGACAGTAACAGACATCAGCTTTGGGCATGCAGTTTGTCTATTTTCCCTAGCATCAACCAAGTCCTGTTTTCCTATTGTGGGCAATTCAGTCTAAGAATCATGCAATGTGTGTCCTGGGCATGTGTAGGATGTATATTAACCACACATCCAGGCTTGAACCATCTCTATTACATCATCAGCATGTATTAGAGTTTCGATGCTCCTTTGAATTCTCCTTTGCAAATGAAGTAAAATGAAAACAATTAAAGCCCACACAAAGCCAGAGGCTAGGGCATTCTAATTTCCTCTGGCTAAACAGAAAATGAGTAGATTAATTTCCAGAATACTTGTGCATGAGCACAGATGCCAAAAATCTCTATTTCCCCTTAGCAAGGCTTCTTTTCATGTTTTTTAATTTATTTACAAATCAAATATTCTTCAAGTGGGTATGTTTTACAGGATCCTCAAGAGTATCATGAATGACAAACCAAAGGGCTAGAACTCCTTAAGTGATTATATAATCTGAGACTTGCCAACCACTGGGATTTTACTGTATAACCCTGACGAGGATAAAAAGCAGCCCTGCATTATTAATGCTAGCTCTGTGTTCTTTTTTTTTTAACTCAAGCAAAGGCACTTACTCTGAAAGCTGTTCACTGAGAAGATGTTGGGATGATAGAATCCAGCCTTGCAGATACATTTGTAGGCTCCAAGCACAAATCCAAGGCCTTTAATTGGCATGCACTGTGAGAAAGGAAAAAAAAGAAAAGTCATGCAGATGATCACACTACTGTATACTCAGATGTACATTCAAGCATAAAAACATTACAAGATATGCTGAGCAGACTTCTAAGAACAAATAGGCTCTCCTTCCAGACTGACAGCATTTCCTCAGCAGCTTTTCCCACAGTCATATATCAGCTAAGCTTTTCTGCCTGCTCTTCATCTCCAACAAACAGCAAAGACAGCTATAATCAAGCCTGATAAACTGACCAAGTGACAAATTTGATCTAGGCAGGACATTAGCCAGCTGTGTTTTTTTCTGCAGGGTTTCCAGCAGAGCAGGTGGACAGGAAAAGGATAAGGTAGCCAGCTGTGTTTTTTTCTGCAGGGTTTCCAGCAGAGCAGGTGGGTTTCAGACAGCTGGAGCTCACACTGTGTGAGAAAGAACACAAAAACCTGCAGCCAAGCCCCAACCTTCTGCTGGCAGCACATGCTGGTGCCCCCACAACAACAGCAAAGTGGAGCTAGCCCAGCTAAGAAAAAGACAACTATTTGTTGGAGAAAATGGCTGCAGACATAAATCTGACCTGGCTGAAAGAGAAAAACCTACGCCAACACGAGACCCATACTTTTAAAATATCTTGTAATTTTTCGAGGTAGCAATATGTGAATCAAGTTTTGTTTAAACTCAGCTTCAGTCTTGCTTGGTTTTGACATCAGGTCAGCCACAGAAAACTTATTACTGTGACAGAACATCTACTGTCAGACAATTCCTGCACATCAAATGGACTTTGCCTAGTATAAAGCAAAGAAATATAAAGGTAGAAGCACTTGTAAAATTATTATTCCCAGTACAGTTTACTTCACCCATCAGATGAAAGTAGACCACTAGACTAGATGCCTTTACCGTGTACATAGGTGTACCTATAGCATAGCTGTACCATGAATATGAACTAGACACTAGCAGTTCCTCAGTGATCAATTTTTTTGAATGATTTAACTAAAACAGCCTCTGTCCTCTCACCTCCATATTTTTCACTTGTTTGTGATCATCTGTGACTTTAGGATATGCTTCAATATCTAACTGGGAGGAAGATGCAGAGGGCAGGGTTCAGTAAAAAATACCTGAGTATAAAAAAACCAAATGTACACCAAGAGAGGACAGTCTGCACTGAAGGCACTCTAGAAAAACACAGGGGAAAAAAAAGCTAAGAGTTTCTTATTATCTCAAATTTGAGCTCTGTGACATAATTCTGCCTGATGTTAGGGAAGCCACTTTGCTTTTCTTTGCCTCAGTTCCCCAGACAGCACCATGTCTCCTCTCACCCTTCGCCAATCTGATGGCAGTGCTATCGGAAACAATTAGCAAGTAGGAAACTACTTATGAATGAAAATTCATTCAACCTTTGTATAAGCATGAAAGAAGGAAAAAAAAAAAGGAAAGAGAAGGCCCAAAACTTTTTTTTCCACACTTTATCTTCATCCTGCAGAAATGTGACTGTTGACAGGGTGGAGGACGGGACAAACTGAAGTGGGATGAGTGTGTGGGAAAGTCCAGTGACAGCCAACGCTCTTTAATCAAGCACAGAAAGGTAGTTAAAGTAGTAAAAAGACTTTTTCAGATAAAAATTCTGTTCTGCATTCTGGCTCTTTGCTTTGCAGGATGAAGGTACATGCTGCTGTAGAGACTCCATTTTCTTTTTGAAGAAAAGGAAGAAAATAAGTAGATCCTCCTGTATTATGTGAATGTTGCAGCACCTCAAGTTCACAGTCCTTTGCTACTGATCAAATTTATAGAATCACAGAATTGCTCATATCAACTATGCTGCAGGCTCATGAATCTGTTCTGCATTAAAATCAGTGCTTTACTCTCAAAAGCACCCAATATTCATACCAAATAAAAACCTGTAGCTTTTATTTTTTTGTCTCTGGCCAGACTACAACTTGAAAATGGACAAAATACTTCAAATGCTGTCATCTTTCACTGGTCTAGGACATTATCCCTTTTTCCAGAATTTGGCAGCTGTAATACAGCTTAAAAACCATCAATCAAATTGATTCTTGCAGTCCATATGATCCCAGACAAAGGTGTAATAGGGATCAGAATATCATGTTGACAGGTGGGACGGAGAGAAGGAGAGAAAGAAGCCTAGATCCCTCTAGATGCCATTTCAAACTCTAAAATTCCACTGTGCTCAATATTGTATGGGAACAGAATTATTTACAGCCTGACTTTTAAAAGAAATTGCAGCACCTAGGCAGGAAAAAACACTAAATACTATGAGAAGCCAAAAATGGGAAAAATACTTTCTCTGGAAACAAAAAACTTCAATCTTTTCACAATAGAGTTAACAGATTATATTTTATTAACCAATGGTGACAGACACTATGGTGAAAAAGGTAATAAATAAACTGTTTTCTGCTGTACGAAAGGAGTTTAGCAAACAAAGTCCAGATTTGTTTGTTATGATTATTTACCTATAAAGGCTTTTCTTGGCTGGCTGTAGGTGAATCTACACAACACATAGCAGGCACAAGCAAGCAGCTTTTGTCCTTGTCCTGACAAATGGCACCTGGTTCCAGTGGCCCCAGTGGCAGACTCTGAGCCAAGCCTGGCAAAGCTGTACCAGCCCAGCCCCCAGCACTGGCCATGGGCTTCAGACCCTCGGGAGCACAGGAACTGAGTGATGCACAACAGGCCCTGTAGACACATTAATCTGCTGCTAAGTTACTTAAGATTTGATCCATATAGAACTTAGCATTGAATAAAAGCAGATGTGTGAAAAACACCTGCTTCCACATAAGCAAAAAAAGAGGAAGCATAAAACTGACCTGGTTTCCAATTTCATTATAAATGTGAAAGCACAGCTCTGGGAAGAAACCCACCATATCCTGAGTATCTTTGCCTCAATAGTAGTCATCATCTTTCAAAAAATCATACTTTAATCAAGTGAAAGATGCAGGTGGCTACTGAGTGATGCTTCACTGGTATGCCCTTCAGGACACAACACTCCTAAATGGAATTTGTATCGCTTTAACTTCCAGTTCTTATAGCTGGTTTGGTTGCAATTAAGATCAGCTTTATCATCATGTTTGCTAAAGAGAGAGTAATAGGTGTCTGTAGAATTCACAGAGTGCATTTATTCCACTTGTCTGTTCCCTGGTATTAGATTTTCAGCTTTACAGTATTAGTATAATGTAATGACTCCAAAGCTTTTTAGAGTAAGCTTTAAATGTTCAGCTCAAAAAAACTTAGATATTCTACGAATATTTATCTTGAGATTATTTATAAACAAATAGCTCCTGAATCAACACAAGATTCTAACACATTTAAACACAATATCTAAACCAGGTTTTTTTAAGTCTGTATTGGTTTAAATTTATGCTGCTTCTTGTAAAGGATGAAATTGGTAAAATCTAATTTGATAAAGATTATCTCTGTTGGAAAGAAAATAAACCCTTCAAATAACCTGTGCAATTGCTTTGGAAGTCTGAGCCAAATCTTCTGGCACAAGAAAGACAAAACCCTTCATCAGATGTGATTAGCCAGAAACCAAGTGACAAAGTATTCAGCAGACATAAAAAGCAGGTGAGACATCCAGAAGGGGAGAACAGGGCAAAAAAATCAAGTAGTTTAAGAGAAAGCATGTGGCATCATGTCCCACATGAAATTTAGAAACTCAGATAAAGGGTTAAACATATCCATACTGTGGCATTCTGGAGCATAGGGAGCAAATCAGTAATTTTACAATTTAAGAAAAAAAAAATACTAAAAATAAAAATACAGCCAGCCTTCAGTTGGGTACTTCAAGTTTTTCAAAGAGCAGCTTTCAAAAATCTGTATTTCCACATGCATACAGCAGTGAGAATGTCTCCCTTTTCTTAAGTCACCTCCTTCTTCAAAGGACGAAGTAAGAGCAATTTCATGATAGATAAAACTTAACAAAGATAACACAAGTAAGCCCATGTTTCTTTTCTCTGGTTAGGGGCAGCACATAAGGGATTTCTAGAAAATGCAGTGAATACAGTAATTCTGTATCTGGCACACAACAGCAGCTGAAGCAGGTTGGTGTCCTGCAAAACCCCTTGCAGGAGGATTTTTCTGATACGGTTTACCACTCAAGTGAAGCACTTTCACTCATTAAAAAAACAAAAAAAACCCCCACAAAAACAAAAACACCAAAACAAACAAACCCTCCTACAACAACAAGAAATAAAGAAAATTAAAAAATATAATTAAGTAGATAAAAGCCAAAGTCTCTTTGCCTAAGACAGTGACAGCTGTGGCATTGAAAAGGCTTTACCCCTTGTCTTTTCTCACTTCATTCACCCTTCAAGACCAGAGTGCTGTGTTACAGTGTGTTTGCAGCCTCACAAGTGAGCAGTGAGCACATCCACACATCCAAGAACCTCGTGCATCACCTGGAAGGCCCTGCTTACCTCCAGAGAGCTTGGGAGGCAGCCAGATTGCCAACCACACTACTCATTAATCTTTCTTTTCAAACACAACATTTTGGTTCAAAGAGACAGGACAGGGTTGGACACTCTATACTTTCACTGCAGAATTATTTAGGCCCTGTAGTCCCTCTCCTTCTTTCTGAATGCATTGGTGGAGTCAATTACTTTTTATATTCAAGTTAAAAATGTGTTTTCAGCAACAGGAGACTTAGAATAACATTGAGTTTTTTAAATCTGCATCAGTCAAAGCACAGCAACAGCTGATCTGATTCACCTTAGAGCAAAGGGAGTTCTCAGGACAATATTTGTTTTTATAGTTTGATGCTTTGCTAAAAGTTCTTCAGTGCTTTTTAATTTGGTTTTTCATTATACCGATTTTGTTAAGCATAGGATGAGAATAAATAATGATGGACAGGAGCCTCAGCTCATTCACACAAACAATGATAAGTGACACATGGCTACTGACAAACCATGAGCAGAAAAGTTAATGTCATTCACTAAATGTAAGGGACTGTAAAGTCTTTAATATCTAATTAACCTCTTTTCAAATGTGTCTCAGTTTG